TGCTTTTGCGTTTTTTACAGGCATCGCACGTCAACGATACGCACCGCACACACAAACCGCGCTCAACGAGGCGACGAGGCGTCGGCGGCAAGGAGGATAGAAGGGTAGGAGAGGGCATGACGTTAGCCGCGTAGCCTCTACAAGTCATGCTCCCTTGACGCCTCGCCTCTTTCTCATTTTCCTCCTTAGTCTCCTCACTCACCACGCCAACGTGACCACATCACGTGACCGTAGCTTTCAGGCAACATTTCATGGGCGCCGCCATCTTGACGTCACGTAACCCTGCCGCCATAGCCGCCCTTCAGTTTCTCGCCGTTCCTCCGCGTTGTGTGCTGCACCGGCCACTACCGGAGCTTTGTTTTCGCGTTCTTTTACGCTCCGCGTTGAAATCGTGTGGTTTCTTTAGGTCTTTTCTATATTTCGGGCTTTTATTTAATCATTTGATATCTATATTTCAACATAGCTCTTGTATTTTCTTACTTATGAAATGGAATCGGACAGCGAATGGATCGACGATGCAAGATTATGGCTTCAGAGACCATGTAAGTTCATCCCATCCTAACGTTTTTCTCGCTAATAAAGGGCAGTCAACAGCATTGCGACATATGCAAATTTCAACTGACTATCCAATCGTGCCTCTCGCTGCATGGCCAACCCGCATGTAAGCGATTTAGCATGCGACGAGACGAGCGACGGCGACAACGACGAGAGTCACCGACGAAGATTTCTCACTGCCGCCTGTTGCATCGCTCGGTTTTTTGGGTTTCTAGAAAACGTCGCTCACCGTCTTGGTTGCCTGCTCCCGCCGCTTCCATGCGGTTTGCCTCGTCGCGCGACTGCCCGAGCGACAGCGAAGCGGGTCACCGTCGCTTGCCTCTTTGCTCGCCGAATCGCTTGCATGCGGTTTATACTTAATATCGAGGCGCCAATGGTTCAATAGTGTGTGCATGGAAATTAATTGAGTATAAACCGCATGTAAGCGATTTGGCGAGCGACCAGATAAGCGACGGCGACCCGCTTCGCTGTCGCTCAGTCAGTCGCGCGACGAGGCAAACTGCATGGAAGCGACGGAGCGAGCGACCAAGACGGTGAGCCGCGTTTTCTAGAAATCCCCAAGCCGGGCGATGCGACGGGCGACGGTGAGAAATCTCCGTCGCTCGTCTCGACGCGCGCTAAATCGCTTACATGCAGGTTGGCTTTACGGAAACGAGCGCGCATATGCGGGGAGAACCACGACTGTCATAGCCTTACTGCCTCAGTTGCAATTTGCATATGTCGCAATAGTGTTGAGTGCCCTTTATTAGCGACAAAAACGGAAGAATGGGATGAACTTACATGGTCATTGAAGCCTCAAAATTTTGTATCGTCGACTCAATCGCTGTCCTATCCCATTTCATAAATAGGAAAATACAGGAGCTAATGTCGAAATATAAATATCAAATGATTAAATGAAAGTACTAAACATTCAGAAAGGCCTAAAGCAAATACAAGATTTTAACGCGCAACGTAAAAGAACACCAAAAATAAGCTCCGTTAGTGGCCTGTACTAGGGTGCCTACATGTTTCCGCTTCGCTTTAGGGTGGCGCCAACTTCTTGTTACCCTTTCCCAGATCCTCTCCTACCGCCATTTTGTCCCACTTCTTATTTCGCTAAACGTAAAACACGTTGAGTTTCTGTAGTGTCGACACACCGGCAACACTGGGAGGCCACTTCCGTTTCCGTTCATAAGAGGAGTCGAAGGCTCAGCGGGATGGCGGTCGTCGTAGCTGTCGCTCTCTTTATTCGGGTTTTTCATATTTTGAAGTTGCGATCAGGAAGTGTGCGTTGCTTTTATCGAAACGCGAGTTCCCGCGACAAAATGGAACGCAGCAGAGCGGCATTGAACGCCGAAACCTCGCCGTCGGAACGAGAGCGGTGAGCGCTCCCTAGCCCTAACGAGGATTAGCGGCGTAGTCCGAGCGCACGACCGGCGAGTGTGACAAAATGGTCGACGAAAACAGCGGAGGTTGCCATGGTAACGAGGTAGGCAACACTGGTTTGTCGTCAACAGGTATCACAAACGTTGTCGCCACCCTAAACAGCGGAGCGGCGGAAACATGTAGGCACGTACCCTAGCCTGTACGGCACACAACGCGGAGCAACGGCGAGAAACTGAAGGTCGGCTATGGCGGCCCGGAAAGCGCGCGAAGGGCGCGCCGACTGGTGGCCGCTCGAGTAACTGACTCGCTGAAAGCGTCTATACACTCCGTGCGGGAACTATAGGGGGCGCTTTGAAAAACGCGCGCAGCGCTGCTAGCGGAGGAGCTGGCGTTCGACTGTGAGGCGGGTTCAGCAGCCTGCGGCGCCTTTTCGCATGCCAAACTGTGGCGGCGGAAGCGCGCGCGGACGAAACATTTGCTTTTTGAGCCGATAAGTTGAGGGTGACGTTGCATGAGTGCTGGAGCAGAAGGGCATTTATCTGTTCTCCACTTCTTATATATTGAGTTTGAGTCGTTATTAGGGGTAATTTCTTTAGTTGCGGCCGGAAAAGGAGTTGGAGCAATTTTCCGTAAAACAAGACGGCCGCCACCATAATTGCTCTGAGTGGGAAATTGATTTCGCTCGTCGCTGTAAACCTAGGACTGCTGGAACGATGATATTTGGAGGCGAGCGAGATGTTCACTAAGTTTGTGCACGAAGAGTGCCAAGTTTCTTTAAGACAGCAGGTGTGAAAGTTATGTTTCTAACGAATAAAGAAATAAAGCTGTCAGGAATATCCAATATTGGACCCAAAATGTTCTGTTATAGCGGGCTGTGCAAAGTGCAGATTTGGGCAGACAGGTACTTGGACTTGACAGTAACATGACACAACACTTATTGTACAAAAATAAAAAGGTGGCATAGGGAAACCAGGTGAAAATTTGGTTTGGACGGCGTAACTCAATGGGAACCGGTTTTGACATGAAAAGGTTGTCAAGAGACTATCACTGATTGTGGGAGGTGGAGACTTTACAGGTAGGAAGGGACTGGTGGACTGTACTTCCAATTGAAACAACTTTACGAAAGGTGGTTCCAAAGCCGAGAAAACAAAGCTGTCGGTCAACACACGGTTTGGCCGCCAAGGGCTGTTGCGGTCAGCTGTTGTGTAATAACCTGTTGTGCGAGGTGCTGATTTTCTGGGCGCAGGTACTTTGACATGACCGTCTCTTGGCACAACACTTATTATAACAAAAAGAGTTGGCATAGCGAAACCAGGTGGAAATTTAGTTTTGGTGGCGTAACTAAATGGGAACCAGTTTTGACCGTCAAAGGCTGTCAAGATAAAACCACTCATCGTGGGAGGTGCACACTTTACAGGTAGGAAGGGACCAGTGGACGGTACTTCCAGTTCGAACCACTTTGCGATAGGAGGCTCTAAAGCCGAGAAAAAAATTGTTGTCTACAGAACTCAGGGTGTCAGCTTTTCCACATCCAAAAGGAGGCTGATCAAGAAAGAAAGCACACCACATAAACTTCCATACTCAAACGTCGATTCTCCAGTGATTCCGAGTTTCATTGTTGTTTTCTTTAGATTTATATTTGTCACTTTTTTACCGTTCGAATCTTTCTTCATGAAGTACAGATTGCGCGCCATACTTGTCCGGAAATATCAATGACACGTACGATGGGGACAAAACTTCTTTGGAGGGCATTCCTCCAACGAAATTGGCACTGCATACCCGCGAGTGTGGGATGGCATTTCAGTTCGTCCCATCGGCGCAGACACATGTAGGCGTTACTGGTACGAAAACGAACGCAGAGCGCAAAGCGGCAGTGTAGAATATGTCAGCCGTGATGACACAACGGCAGACATGATCGGGAGAACAAATTTCTCGCGTCGTACGGCACGGCTCCATCGTTGTCGCTGTCCCAGAAAACATCGGCGAGGTGAAAAACTGCGAAACTTTGTCTCCACGAGATACGACGCATAACTATTGAAGCACTTAATGACGCAGCAGAGGCTGCGTCATTAAGCTGTGAACCCAGCGCTGTGAACCCACCGCAACACCACCACTCCGACTTCAATGCGTACCAACGTACGCGGCGTGGTTTCGGTTTCGTTTTCTCCGGGGTTCTCACTACCTACCTTTGCTACCGGCCACGCGGCGGCGCGCCAGTCGCGTCGCACGGAGTGTATAGGGTACTAGAATAAACCGCAGTCTAGCCTTCGATCTCATAAAACCTACCGGACGGAGCGCGCGCAAGCCTGCAAGGAGCCCTTCTACAATAAACCATCCATCTCACACGTGACATGTCACGCGCACCAATCGCCAGAAAGATCTGCGGTCACGCTGGGCACAAAATCGTTTAAACTTTTTATGACTAGGCTTCACCAATATTGCAACGTGCCCTCTCCTGGTACTTATAACCTCCTTGGTCGGCGGCGTCGGCGCGTTGGCCTATCAGTAGGGAGCCGGCCGAGCGCGTCGTTCACGTTTCTCACGTCGCACGGCGCTGCGAGCGCTGCTCTCCCCGGGAAAGAAAACAAAATGAAAAAAACCTGTACATGCTTGATGACGTCACGGACGTGCCGGGAGGAGAAATTTGGAGGAAGCGGAAATGCAGCCGGGCAGTGTTGTCTAGTCCGCACGTCTCATCCAAAACCAGCAGATTCGTGCTTGTTGAACTTTGAAACCGATTTTAATAAACTTCTAGGCGGAATTTCACCCTAATATTTGCTTTGTGGGCTTTGTAGATGATAACAAAGAGAACTGTATTGTTTTGCACTACTAAAAAAAGAAGCGGAGTTGCCCTTTAAACAAAATATAAGAACAATAATAAGATAAAATACTATTCTAGTTTTACTTCAGGGTGAAATCTAGAAAGCTACTCTAGCCAAAAGCAAAAATTGTACATGAACAAAAAAAAAAGTTCAGAGAGACGGCAGTTTCGACTCAAAAATTGGCTTTCAACGTCGAGATAATCATGCTCGATGCAAACGACCAAACACCAAATAATAGTAGAAAATGGTTGCGCTTACCTGTACCAGGGGGCTAGGTGTCACAAGGCCTCTGGAGTACGAATGTAGGAGTGTATTGTGAACGTCCCTCAACTTGCGATCGCCGTTCACCATGATCACTTTCTTCTTCGGTCCCTGGATCACGAGGCACTCGACGCTCATTGTTAGCTTCAAATTCTTGAAAAAATCGCGAAGACGACGCGGATTTGAAGTAAAGAATACCCTCGCCTGGTTTGCAGTAAGAAAAAGAAGAAAAAGAAAAAGGAGTGGGAACTGTTTCTCTTATGGTGAATTTCGCTCGCAGATCTCGAGCGCCCCAAAAGCGCTCCATTTGGAGCGCGCATATTCCGCTCGCAGATCTGGCTCAAGTTGGTCATCTTTCGCTCGTAGATCTGTGGCAGCGCCCGCTCCACGGAGCGCCCCAAACTCCGCCGAACTTGCTCTGCGGGATTTCACAGATCTCTCCGGATGGATGGATGGTAATCAGAGCCGTATATATAGAGAGTTTGGTCAATGGGAGGCGCGGGCGGAGTCAGGGCGTGCGGCAGAGTCGGAAAGAGGGCTTGGCATGCTCTCTTGACCAACCAGAAGCCGAAAAGAATCCCCTAGCGGTGGTAGCGGCAAACAGTTCTGATCAAAAGTCTATGTTCGTATATGGTTTTAATAAGCGCGTAAGAGTGAAGTGTAGTAACTCTTCGTGGTTGAAAATAGGGTGCACGTGTTGTTTTGATCATGATCATGCAGGAAGATGTAAGAAACGAATGTGTCGCGCAACTCTGTTTTGCGCGGACAGAGTGTGACCGTTCGGACGACACATTCCCGGCCCTGGGCGCTTGGCGTACGGATCATGTCGATCGTTCCGCTAGTCGCACTCTTCCACCATCATTTTGGATTAACGTGATTGAAACATCACGTGTACCATATTTTCAGCAATTGAGAGTTACTCTAATGCAGTTATCAGGTTTGTATCTTGCGACCACCGCCAGGGTATTATTTCCGGCTTCTGGTTGGTCAGATTAAAATTTCTGAAGACGCCCTGGAACACGCCCAGCCCGCTTTCGGCCAATGGCGCCTCCTCATTTGTCTCGTATACTTCCCAACGAATGGCCAAACTCTCTACATTTATGGCTCTGATGGTAATGGCTATACCCTTTGTAACGAGCGGCAGCTTGCGCCACCTAGCCTAACATTTCGTCATCCCTTCTACTATTTTTTTTTTAAATTTGTATGAATTTTGTTATAACAGACCCCCCTCTCTTTTAAATTGAATTTATTGCCTATTTTTATATGTATTTTTTTATCCTTCCCTAGATCTCTTTCAACAATCTTCCGATCTCCTCTTAGTTACCGCAATTCTTCGCCATCCATTCGTCCATTCATGTCCGGAAAACCCAGCGCCCCCTCCAAATCCGTAGTCATCCCCCCCAAGAGGGTAGGACGAATCCCCGTGCACCTTAAAATTACATGTTCTATAGTTTCCCTTTCGCGGTTGCATACGTCACACAGAGTGTCTACTCCCTGAAATTTAGCCCTATACGTTTTCGTTCACAGCACCCCCGTTCTAGCCTCAAACAACAAAGAGCTCCCCACGAACTTATCATACAGCTGTTCCTTCTTTATTTCTTGTTTTTGTGCCCTGCATATTGCTAAAGTTGATTTCCCCTGCATTCTCTCTTCCCACAATTTCCTCTCTGTTTCCTTTACTCTCTTTTCTACTGATATGCTCTTATCGGCTCCATCTCGTTGAATGTATTTAAATCTCAGCTTGCGGGTTCGGTTTGTCCACCTAGTGTTTAAACTTTTCATATATAGATACTTGTGCACTTTCGCTGCCCACCGTGTATCCTCAATTTCAGCTAGTCTTTGTTCAAATTTTACTTTACTGATCGCTTCTCTACTTTCGAAAGATGCCCAACCCATATCCCACTGTAATCCCTCATTTGGTGTATTCCCATGTGCCCCCAAGACTAACCTATACCCACACTCCTTTGCTGTATATCTAAACCTGCCTGAATTTCTGACCTCATACACAATCCGCATTCCCAAATGACAGTCCTGGCACCATGACTCCCTTACATACACCCCTAACAACTTCATATCTATTATAGTTCCATAGTGCCTTGTGTTTCATGATAGCCGAATCTCGTTTCCCCTTCTTTATTACAATATCGTCATGGTCTCTTCGATACCGTCTTCCTTCACTTAACCATACTCCCAGATATTTGTACTTTTCTACGTGTTCTATTAATGTGTCCTGTATCTCCAGGGGCTCCCCCTTCTCGTCGTTGAAAACTATTATACCAGACTTGTACCTACTAAATTTTAGCCCTAAATTCTCCCCTTCCCTGCTGCAAATTTTAATCAGTTCCTGTATTGTTTCACGACTTTCTGATACGAGTACAATGTCGTCTGCATACATTAACCCTGGCAATACTTGATTTACTTCATGTCCTTCCTCCATGTAAGTCAGCTCAAAACCTAGGTTGCACCGTTCTAAACTTTTTTTCCATCTCACTGAGGTATATCATAAAGAGCAGGGGAGACAATGGGCAACCCTGTCTAAGACCTCTTTTTATTGCTGCTGGTCTTTTAGTTTTGGCTTCCCATGTTATAACCACCCTATTCTTCGTATAAACCCGTTCTAGAAACTTAACCATATGGTTCCCTCTAGCCCATATCCCTTCAGTTGGTTCCAGAGTTTTTCCTGATTCACATTGTCATATGCCCCTTTGATGTCTAAAAATGCTACTCATAATGGCCTTTGACTTGTCACTGCTATCTCTATGCACTGAGTGATTACGAATAAATTATCATCAAGTCGCGTCTATCTTTCCTGAAACCGTTTTTTACCTACCCCTAGGATCTGCTTTCTCTATGCCCATTCTTCCATTCTTCTTTTTACAATTTGCATAGCTAGCCCGTATATTACTGAAGTTATGATTTGATACTGTCTTTGTATAATAATCTCATCCTTCTCAATTCCCAGTCACTGCATGGGTACCTTCCCTCCCATAAGTATCTGGTCAATCACCTGCCTTAGTTTCAATTTGCTTGTTTTGCCTAGCACTTTTATCAATCTCATTGGTATGCCGTCTGGACCTGTCGCAGTTCCAGCCGGAACCCTTCCTTCTGCTTTTTCCCACTCCCCAGTGGTCATTTCCTCTTCTTCGCTATGATCCTCCTCTTGTGTTGTGTAGACGCTACCATTCCCTACGGCCTGATCTGATTCTAACTCCGAAAATGCTGCTTCGATTGTATGTCTAATGTAATCTCTTGCCTCTTCCCCCCCTACCTTTGTCCCTTCCTGTGTGGTTAGTGTCTGCTGGTACCCCTCGGTCTTTTTTCCCTGTGCACTGATGTGTTCCCAGAACCTTTTTGCCGCATTCCTATCCTTCTCGTTCATCTCTATCATCCACTGGACCCCTGCCCTTCCAATTTTGGCCTGTATTAATGCTGATGCCTCCCGCTTCCTTTCCTGAAATTCCTCCCATTTTGATGCTACTTCGTCTAGTGTGGCCCCCTTTTTCTTTGCCCATCTGTGTTCTTTAGATGCCGCCTGGTGTCTCGATATTGCTGCCTTAACCTCTTTATCCCACCAGCTTTTGAGCTTACGTTTTAGTTTTCTACCTCCTTGTTTGATTCGATATTTCTCTAACTCTTTTTTGAAAACACTAATGAAGTCTTCATATGTCCATTCTCTTACCGGTTGCTTGGATACTATGTTCTCGATTTGCTTAGATACCTCCTGTAGTTGTTTATCATTTAAGTTATTCCTACCTTCTCGTTTTTTTATTTTGCGTTTCTGATTTTACTGTGCCGAATATGATCTTGATTCACTTATGGTCGCTCCCCAGATTTTTGTGCCTTCCTCATCTGTTTCTATGCCTCCTAATCTGTTGTATATCTTACGCGACATTAAAGGGATACTACAACGAAATTTCGGCGCTCATTTTTTGGTCTAGATGTGTTCAAAAGAGCAGTATCATATGGAACATACCAATATCTTGTTAAAAAAGTCTCGAAAAGGAATTTTAAAACGAATTAAACGATTAGCAAAGTGCACCTGGTGGATGTCGCTAACGCCTCGCTCGTAATGCCCGTCTAGGAACCTTGACAGCTAGTGACGGAGGTTGTCTCGCCTCCGGCCACGACGAGAGAAGGGGGGAAGGAGGTACTCCCCTCTTCCCGAGAATCCCTTTTGTGTGTCGCACAAGTCGCTATTGTCCCCCTAGAAGATTATAATAGATTAACCCGTCCCTCAAAATCCGTACAAAAGCAGCCGCTTCGGTGGCTGGAACGACTAGGCCATCCTCTCGACGTCAGCCTCGCCGTAGCTTTGCTCGTCTTGAGACGACCTACGTCACGATTGCGTTGGATGTCACGTGCTCTAAGCTGGGCCTTCTCCGAGCGCTTGCCAGAGTGGGCCGTTTATAACGAAAAATACAGCCACCAGGATCAAAATACAAACGTGCGATTATCATTTACGGATATTGTGGATCATATTCAACCTATTTTTGAACACGACGGGAATATTTCAAATTTCGTTGAAGTATCCCTTTAAACAGTAGTCAATAGTCGAGTGAGAGTTCGTTCTTTCCCATGTCATTTTTCCATCACATTTTACCGGAGCATTAAACAATACCAGATCAAGAGCTTCGCAGAACTCCTCTAACGTCCTCCCTGTTGTATCTGTATGTCAATCAAAGTCTTCCAAATGTGCATTCATGTCCCCCAAGATAATTATTTCCTTGTTGGTGCCGATTTCCCTAACGTCTCCTGATATACATGTCAAGCGTTCTGCATTTTCCTCCCCTGCATCACTCCCTGTTTTTAGATAAACAAAACCCAAGATTGTGTCCAGACCCCCAATATTGCCTTTGACCAACATGCGTTCCCTGCAGTCCTCTTGTTCCCTTTCCCATTCCTGACCCTTAACTATACTCCGTTCCACCTTCAGTCTGAGCGCAGTGGACGCCACAGGCCATCCCAGCCGATCCAGTGCCGGGAGAAAATCGCGTGACCTGCCGGTTGGGCAGAGGGACACAGGGAGATCAAGGTCACATGACACTCTCTCCACGCTGGATTGGCTGGGATTACTCCTAGCGTCCGCTGCGCTCGGACTGAAGGTGAAACGGAGTATAACACCCCTAATCCCCCTCCCT